GTGCTATTACGAGATTCTGATCTGATTGCTTTTAAAATTCTACAAAATTCTGATCAAATCACCTAAATTCAAGAAGTTTGTTCAAACTTTTGATTTAGATTTGTAATATTACAGAATCCTGACTTCATAGTCATCAAAATGCTACAAAATTCTGATTATATAGTAATTCAAATCTAAAGAGTTTCAAACGCTTGATATAGTTTTGTGATATTACAAAAGTCTGATCTCATAGCCGTCAAAATCGTACACAATTCTGATCAAATAGTCATCCAGATCCAAAAAGATTGTTTAAACTTCTGATATAATTTTGTGACAACATTCTGATCTCATAGCCATCAGAATCCAACAAAATTCTGATCGAATAGTCATCCAAATACAAAAACATCGTTTTTAAATTTCTGATACAGTTTTGTGATATTACAAAATTCTGATCATATAGCCATCCAAATCATATAATATTCTGATCAAATAGTCATTTAGATCTAAAAAGATTGTTTGAACTTCTGATATAGTTTTGTGATATTACACAATTTTTATCAAAATCCTGCAAAATTCTGATCAAATAGTCATCCAAATCCAGAAAAATCGTTTAACCTTCGAATATAGCTTTTGATCTTTCTAAATTATGATCTCACAGCTATCAAAATCCTACAAGATTCTGATCAAATAGTCATCCAAAACTCAAAATTATTATTATTCTATTATTCTAAAGATGTTCATGAAACACTATGTTAGCAAACTTTTGTTTATAATAATAAATATAAAATTATAATATATTATATGTTCTTAATCAATTTAATCCATAAATTTTAGGTTTAAAAGTTTTAGAAGTATTCCAATAAACATAATACCTTCTTAATATCTAATAAATATACTAATAACTCAGTCTCTAAGAATTGCCGATTGTGTAAAGTTTATCAAATAACGTTCGCTTCGTTCTGAATGCATACTTGTAGACAGTTTTCGAATATTTCTCCTTTTCTGTTGATTTATCAATGTCGGCTTAACAATATATTCCCAAAAATACACCGAATTCTTGCACCAGATCGATTCCGTTGGGAGTCATCAATGTTTGGCCGCGGTCTGCGCATGTCTTGTGGAGGGGAAAGGTACATCCCGTTTCGCCCGATGTACCTTTGAACCGCGATCGTAAGGGAATAGCAAATGTCTACCTAGATATCACAAACTTAGCAAAAAGTATTAGAATTTAAATATATATAACGGAAGAAAATATAATTTTCTTGCCATATGTTTCGACACCGATTTGTGTCATCATGCAGTAATCATCAGATTAAAAGCATAAAAATAATACATCATACATTTGACTACTGAATGATGACACACATCAGGTATCAAAACGGATAGCAATAAAGAAAATTATTTTATTTCAACTACTTTTTTATTTCAACGAATGTTTAAAATTTTTTTCCAAATATGTTTCATCATTGACAAATCTATTAAAATATAAATAAATATAAACAAATATATATTTATAGGGTAGAGCGGATCTTAAAGGTCCGCGGGTAAAAAGGTCCACCAACGATATATCAAAAACAAGTAAATTTTTCAACAACAATATTTGAAAGTAGAGAGTAAAAGATGTATATCCAGCGATCATCTTGATTCTTACGACCAAATAGGGCCAATGCTTGAAAATCTATAGCAAAAGTATTTTTTTGTTATTAGTTATTTTTTAGTTATGAGCACTGTTGTTTAGTTTACAGGACCCTAATATAATTTTTAAGTATATTGTTAATTTTGCTACAGCTTCTACAGTTTTTCATATATTACCTCTAGAAACTTACATGTGGCTGGGGTAAATATTACTGAAATTTCTAAAGTATCCAGAACGGAGATTCTTTTTTTGGATATATTTTTTCCATATTTTTTCAAATTTTTATTTCAAATTATTTTAACATTTTTCTACCCTAAGTATCTTATCATTATGATTATTTTCATACTATTTTTTTGATACTGCCCTTAATTATTATTTTCCAGATTTGAGACTTAAATGAAAATTTCGAAACGAATATTTAAAGGTTTTTTTCACAATTAGAAGAATCTCAAGAACTACATGCCTTAAATAAACTATGTATTTTAATATCGTAACATTTTTTTCTTCAACTTGTTGCATTACATAATAGTAATGTTAGGCTTAATATTGTTTTAGTGTTGTATTCTACTGATTTAATTCAATTAAAATAATTTATTTTCTGTAATTACTAAATTTTATCCTGCATCCAAAATGTAAATATAAAAATAAATATACCTTTGCAATAAAATAGAGAGAATAGTTAGAAAAACATAAAATTTATTTTATAATTTTCTATAATAAATTATGAATAATGGGTTTGACCTGTAGAGCAATCCATCATAGAACTATTTATTACTACTACTGAAACCTAATTATTATTTTCGATTTATGGCATGCATTTGTTTCATTACGTTATAGATATTCATTTCTACCAAAATCATTTGCTACCTGAAGCAATATAATAAAAATGTTATAGTCTCTTGATAGATTTACTTATTTTTATATTTAAAAGAAATAATGTGAAAATTAAATTCACATTACAATGTCTGCTTTTCATCATCGTTTGTTAGTTCCAGTACCGAATATGCTAATGCCATGTTGGCTTTGTTGGGGGTCCAAAAGCCTCACGGGGGATGTTTGCCAAGAATACTCTGTTTGATGTTTACCCGTGAAGATCACGCTAAAGTTTATACATAGGGATGTAGTAACTATTATATGCAAAACAATAAACAAGAGGGAACGGCTTTATTCATACATCGTTTTGCAGATGATGATTCATATTGCATTTGAAATCAGATATTACTGAAATTTATTCATGGTATGAATACGTTTATATTACAGAAAATATTAATATTATATATTAGAATGCATTTCCGTTACTTTTTGTTATTTTTGTATTTCTGTATGTTTTTGAATAAATAATAAAAGTTTATTTGTTTATTCACCCTCATATGAAAAAAATCATCTAAAGCAAGAGCTAAATATGAAAAATTAATGTTATATATCTGGTAATATAATATAACACAATGATATAATATTTGCATTAAAAATGATATTAAAATTGTGTAATAAAACTGTGCTAGTTAAACTCACAATCAGATCGATTTCAGTTTGAGTAGTGTGAATAAAAAACATATATATAAAATTTATATAGGCTCGAATAAATTGTGGAGACTTATAATCGTAGAATAAGAAAATTTAAAATTAAAAAATAATTTGAGTGACCAAATGCCAATAATAAAATTAAAAAAACAATGCTAATTTCATTTGTTTCAAGTAAATTCATGTAGTATTTATGATATTTGTGTTTATATCAAATGATTTGTATTTGATATCAAATGAGTAAATAACTTCCCGTAGGCAAGTTATAGTAATCGCAGAAAAATTGAAAATAAAATTGTTTATATATCTTTACGTTTCAAAACCACCTGAACATTTTGGCATACTTTAGAAAAATGGATGTGTGTGTATGTGTGCGAATACAAATTTTTTAATATGCTGTTATGATACACAAAGTTTATTAGTTTTATCTACTTTTTGTATCATTTACTTCACAAATGTCAGAAATAATAATAGAAGATGATCAGCAGTTGCTCTTTGCAATAATATATATATATATATATATATATATATATATATATATCTTATATATTATTCAATATTACAAAATTCTAATTGATTAGTCATTTAAATCCCCAATGATAATACAAAATTCAGATCAAGTAGTCATTCAAATCCTAAAATATCATTTATACTTTTGATGTAGTTTTTTGATATTACAAAATTCTGATCAAATAGTCATCCAAACCCTAAAGATCTTTTACTTTTGGTATTGTTTTGTGATATCGCTAAATTCTGATCAAATAGTCAACCAAATCCTATAAGAGTTTGAAATTTTGATATAGTTCTTTGATATTACAAATTTGTAATAAAATAGATACTGAAATTCTATAAGATGCTGTCGTAAGACACAAAATTTGTTAGTTTTATCTACTTTTTGTACTGCAGATCACCTACCTGGCAAATGTGTATGAATAATGATAAAAGATGATTATGAGTTGCTTTTTGCAATAAAAATACATATAACCTATATTTTGTTGTGATGGTAACTACTAAATAATATTTGAATTAACCATCGTCATTTTCCTCAAAAATTTTCGATTACAATATTGAATCTACATTATACTAGGATCTAGGATCTAATAACTCTTCATGCTGCACTAACTTTGACATAAAAAGTCTCGCATTAGTGAGGATGCTGAAGATGCTAAATTAAAATATACGGTAATATTACCTACTCTTCGCAGCAGCACAAAGAAAAAAGCTCATCTTATAATCGCTAAGGAACTCATAAGGAGCCTTGTAAATCTCACACAGCTAGTGTATAGAAAAGCACACAGCGAGCTTATTGCAAAGCTCGAAGCTCCGACGGAAAGTCCGCATACGACGCGATCATGATTCCCCTTCATGGTATCAATTCGAAGGCGTGCTTCGATCGCGGTGGAGGACAGGCGGTGTTTCGGATAAATTATGAATAAAAGGTGGAGTTTGTAGGGAACCCGCCCTTATTCAACGTAATACCGAAGGGATGCATGCGCACTGAGGTTGATATCAAAGCCTGACAGTACGATCTCAAAAGCCTGACAGGCCAGTTGTGTTTCTTCTCTTCTATGATTTTTAATCATTTCCATCAACATTTTTTTCTTAAAATTGGTATAAACATAGTACTTACACAAATCTCACAACTTTACAATTCACACCTCCCAATTTAAAAATATTTCTATAAATTTATTCGTGAACTGTGCAAAAAAGTGCATATTCAATACACAAGTGTTATTAAAATTTCTACAGTGACATGAGTTTCAAATAATTTAGTGAAAATATATTAATTTTGTAAAGTGATTGCCGACCGCGCATGCGGGGCGTATTTGGTTCGCAGGGGTGCGATCAGGGGTGGACTTGGAATATGTTAGAATTTTATTCTAATTTGACTGCATTAGGTGGCGCCATGGGACCCATGAGAGGCCCAGAAGACGAAGCCCTTAGGGGCAATTTACCTTGTGCTGATAGACCAGGTTAGACAAAAAATTGTAATTGGACTCATGATATAAAAATAATAAAAATAGTCTTATATGGCTTTCATGTCTAATTTATAAAATATTTTAAACTGGAGTTGTGAGTAAAAATCTTCAAAAACTATTTTTTTTTAATATTTATTATATATAGTTTTATTATACCCATCTAAAATATTTATATTTGATATTATAAAAGACAATAAAAAATTATTCTAAAAGCTTACAAAATATCTTATACGAGTATATTATATCTCAGGTGCAATTTAATGCTATCAATATTATTGTTAAAATAATTAAAATAAATCTGAATTAAATTATTGTCTTTCATAAATTCTCAAAAATCAATATAATTTAAAATACATAATTTAAGTCAAAATTGTGTTATAAAACTCTTTATAATGCCGTATTAAAAGAAAGTTTTTTTCGAAGAGGCCGGAAGAAACTTCTCAAAAAGCTTTTGAAAAAGTTGTTCTTCCTTTATTGTCAATGATTTTATCGACATTTCCTGAAGTGCTCACCTGCATAGTACATATTGTATTTGTGTATTTGTTATTCTATATATTTATATAAAATCCTTTATTTCATAAATTACCCAAAAACTGTTTTTTATAAATATAAAATTCATTATTTTCAAATAATGAATGATGCTTAAGTAAAGTAGCATATTATAATAATCTTTGCTGTATACTGTGAATTGATAATCTTTAATCAATACTTTAACATATATATTAAAACTAGACTTTAAAATAAAATTTAAAATAAACTTTTATAAAAAAATTTGACTGAAATCTTTTGAATTTCAATATCTAATCTGCTATCGTATCTGCTAATATCTAACCATATTTTTTTTATTTTCATATATATTCTATAAAATATGTTCATTGTTTTGTATGAGCAGATTGCAGAATAAAAACATCACAAAAAGTTCCAACAATTACAATTACAATTAAAACGAAAAAATAAAGTTTTTGCACATATATCCATAATCGATATTATTAATATTAAAATAAACATTTAATTTATATGATAGAATAAACAATGAATAAATTTTAATTTCTAAAATTATTATGATAAATTGTAAATATTAATTGTTATTTGTAAATATGAAATAGAATATAAAATACTAATAATTAAATTTCGCGGGTCTGGAGTGGTCTGATTGTCAAATTTTTTTTTATTGTGTTGGTATACATGCCCCTAAGTATGATGAAATTTTCAGCTATATTCACTGTTTACTTTGTCTGTGGTGTCGCTAAGGTTCGACGTGTTTTTCTGAGCTCGGCGATTTTTACAATGGAAGAATTGAAAAGTCAAAGAATTTGTATTAAATTTTTGCGTAAAAAATGAAATAAAGTGTTGCAAAGGTGCAAAAATTCACCAGATATGGCTCCGTGTGACTTTTTCCTATTCCCAAGTTGAAGAGACCCATGAAAGGACGGCGGTTTTCCTCGATTGAAGAAAATCGCTGAGAGTGCTCAAGGACATATCAAAAAGTGAATATCAAGGGTGCTTCGAAAATTGGAAAAAACGCTGGCATAAGTGTATTATATCTGGGGGGGACTACTTTGAAGGGGACCACATTAATGTAGACGAATAAATAAATATTTTTTTGAAAAAACGAAAATTCCGGGTACTTTTTGAACAGACCTCGTATATAAAAGATCATTGCAATCGATAATTGCAATTATCGATTTAATTTGGACATTTGCAGAAAAAAACAAAAGACTACACATGTAGACGTGTAGTGTTTTCACTATTTTACAGTCATTATTTCTTTCATCTTTATATTTGGTTTTACGAATGAAAAGGCTTTCAATCTCAATCAGTTATTAGAAAATAATTCTTCAATTTAATCAAATATTAAATAACGGGTATTAACAATAAATAAAGATAATCAAAGTTTAATAATTAAAGTTTGACAGTAGGTGAGATGTGAAATGAAATGCATTTGTTTTTAGATAAATATCAAAATGTTGATAAAATATTTAATAATGATTAATTTTTATTGAATTAATGTATCCAAATGTGTGAAACTTATAGATTAAATTATTATCAATAAGCAATAAATCAGTGAAATTTAAAGAAAAATGTATAAATCCAAAATATTGATAAGATCTTATTGTAATAATAACAGACAGATAGAAATAAAAATTTATTTAATATTTTGGTTACATTTTATGTAAATACAGTGAATTAAATATGAGTTTTCTACCCTAGAGTAATCTACCCAAAAATTTATAATTTATATTTATACAATATTTTATACATTAAACAAGGACAAAAAAAGGAGAAAAGTTGTAATAATAATCATTATAAATTTAATTAATAATAGTAATTATAAATTTAATTTGGAAACCGAAAAAAACTACATAGCTATTGCTATACTAAAACAAACTATTATTACTATTCTATTATACTTGATAAAATATGAATCTGCTGTATATAAATATGAAATGATTCAATATACGACTTCATTCAATTTAAAAATTATTCTGTATTAAGTTCTTAATTAAAATTCTGAGATTATTAGTGTGATTGATTTTTCCAAATTCTTATTTTTCCATTTTCCAGAATGTGAGCCTCCACCACCTATAGCACCGAGCATAAAACTCGAACCTCAAGCCACTGGCGCTTCATCCTGCACAGGCTGCGGTCGTCTGATCCTGGACCGATTCCTGCTCCGAGTGGCGGACGCATCCTGGCACGAACATTGTTTAAGATGTTGTGCTTGCGGCGACACGTTATCCAGGTCCTGCTTCGCACGCGATTTACGCCTTTACTGCAGGGCGGACTACGAACGTGCTTTCGCCGCCAAATGTTCCCGCTGCTGCGAACGATTGCTCCCGAGGGATTTAGTGATGAGAGCTCAACAGCATGTTTATCATGTGGCTTGCTTTTCTTGCGCCGTTTGTGAAAGACCTCTGCAGAAAGGAGAACAGTTTGTTATAAGAGCTGGAAGACTGTTCTGCAGGCGAGACTTTGAAAAGGAGATGTTTTTTTTAGGGGTAATAATAATAAATACTTAATAAATACTTAAATAGCTTATAGAAACTTCAATGTGTTTTTAGTTAATTCACAATTACAACTTTTTGCTTTAGTTCTTATAAAACATAAAATTACTTTTTGATAAATAAATTGATTAAATGATAAAATGATTGAATTGATTATTAATTTATTAAATCTTGCGGCCAATTTCTTTTTAATCTTCTCGTAGGTACTTGTTTTAGCAGGTCTTCTATTAGAGACTTTTTAATATAAATCAATTTTTGTGTTTAAGAAATATTTCACTAATTGTGTATTTCAACATATATTATCTTTTCCTAAATATATAATATTCTCTTTAAGTTTGCTTTAAATTTTTTTTTAATATTTTATGTTTGTCCTATAGGTAGATGACGATATGATTGTAGATGATTCATCAAGACCTCGTGATGGAAGAAGAGGCCCCAAAAGGCCTCGAACGATACTGACATCAGCCCAAAGAAGACAATTCAAAGCATCATTCGAACTTAGTCCTAAACCCTGCAGAAAAGTCAGAGAAGCTTTGGCGAAGGAAACTGGACTAAGCGTGCGGGTTGTTCAGGTAGAATTGATAAAAATACTTCTTTAAGATATCTTAAAATAATTTTAAATCATCTTAAAAGCAGATATAATTTGCTCTTCGATCGATGATGATTTATATTAGATAAGTCAAAGAATAATTATTTAAAGTAGTTTAATAGTAAATAAATCAATCTGATTATAATTTTATTTTCATAACTAAGGTCAAATGTTTAAGTTATAAATAAAACTTTGCATTACCAATTGAAACTATCTATATAGAGTATAACCTCGATTTGCGATTATCCGGACTTCCAAGTCGAATTTATATGTATGTACATACCTACAATTCGAATTTTTGCACGATTTTTGCTACAATTTAGTACATGTATGTAATGTAATCGAAGAAAATATGTATGTACATACATAAGGAAGTGTTAATTTCTTAATAAACATTGATTTTTGTTGATATCTATGTATGCAATTGTTATTTTAAATAAATACACAGCATTATTCTTCATACATTCGATTCTCAGGATTTTCGATTATCCAAATGCCCATCGAGAACAATTAATCCGGTTAATCGAGGTTAATTTGGCAAATATATATATATATATATATATATATATATACATATATATATATATATATATATATTTTATTACTTTGACATTAAGTTTTCATGATACATTTTTAACTAAATAATCTAATAAAGTTACCATGGTCCATGTATTTTTTTTTATATTATTGTGGTAATTAACGTGTTAATATTATACTGTAATTATTATTACTAAACATATGAATGTATCTTATACTATAAAAAACTGCAAAGCATAATAATTTAAATGATTCGTTAATATTCCTATTGCTATAACACTTTAAATGCCATATCAGTCATTTGTGTCTGATACTGAGAAGTTTTACATATATGTCGTACAGGTCAATTACACATGCCCAATGCAATCGATACATTTTCAGTATGTTTCGAAAGCCAGGAAAACAAAACCTGAAAATTTTTTGACTTATATATAAGATCTACAGAGAAAAATTTTACTGTAGGGCCATGTTAATCATATAGATGTGATATAAAAAATAGTGTTTTTCAGGAATTTTGGCAAAAATATATATATTTTTTGATTACTTTGTCATTGAGTTTTCATGATACATTTTTAACTAAATAATCTAATAAAGTTACCATGGCCCATGTAATTTTTTTTTATTATTGTGGTAATTAACGTGTTAATATTATGTTTAGATTATACATTTTTCAAATTCAATAAACAAAATGCAATTCATTAAAGCCTCACATTTATAATTAAAATAAAATATCACTTAAAATGTGAATATGATGAAATGAATCGACGAAACGTTTCGGCGCTCAATGTATCCCAATAGGTGACGCTATAGCGCATTGCTCTGCTCAAGCACACCGCGGAACATAGAACGTTTTCGGCTTAGCTAACTGCTTTTTCCGCTGAAGCATACTTACCTGGCGTGGGGGCTACCGTGATCACTAAGGCGGTTCCCCCAGGGCGAGGCCCTTCCATTGCACCTCGGTTGGGCTGACCCCTGCGATTGTCCCTAATGTGGATAACTCGGGCGCGTAATTTTTGGTAGTCGGGACTGCGTACGCGCTGTCCCGGTAACAAACTCTCATATTAAAAATACGTATACATATATAGTATACAAGGATATTCTGAGCTGAAATGTTCAAATACTCCCCACGGTATTGGTACCATATACCTTGCCCACACTACTCTAAGGTAACCATGCCAGGCCCTGTGACGGTACTAGACTCTCAATTTATAATGTAATGAAGTAAATTTGATTGTATCGAAGAGCTTTCTTAAGAGCTTTTAACCTTCTTAATTTTTAAAGTAAATTTGGTTGTATCGAAGAGTTTTTAACCTTCAATTTTTAATGGAAGATAATATTTCACTAGTGTAGTAAATGCCATGTAAATTTGGTTGTATCGAAGAGCTTTTATAAGAGCTTTTCACCTTCAATTTTTAAAGTAAATTTGGTTGTATCGAAGAGCTTTTAACCTTCAATTTTTAATGGAAGATAATATTTCACTAGTGTAGTAAATGCCATGTAAATTTGGTTGTATCGAAGAGCTTTTTTAAGAGCTTTTCACCTTCAATTTTTAAAGTAAATTTGGTTGTATCGAAGAGCTTTTAACCTTCAATTTTTAATGGAAGATAATATTTCACTAGTGTGGTAAATGCCATGATACGTATACTAATATAGTATTGTATAAAATTTTTAATGTTATCCATAATGTACCTAAGGTACCTTTATTTAATATAACTATTTTATTCCTTCCAGGTGTGGTTCCAAAATCAACGTGCAAAAATGAAGAAACTTCAACGTAAAGCAAAACAAGACGGCGGTTCAGGAGGCGACAAGCGGAAAGATTCTGGATCAGGAAATGCAGATGATGGCACTGATGGAGAAGCTGCAGTCAAGCAAGAATCTTTGTGTATGGATGGCTCTTTTTCAGCCTCAAGTAGACCTTTGAATCCGAACATGCCTTATTCGCCAGATGGTAATAATTATTTGTAATATTTATATGAATTTCATCCACATTATTAGCACATCACTATGCAAATTACATCAATATACAAATTTGGACTATTGAATATGAAAATGAAACTGACTTTTATGCTTAAGTAAATTGCCTTTTAGTCATTTTTTACAAGAAGTATATTTGTGCAGAATACTAAAAATACGCGATATACGTATAGAAAATTTTTCTTTCCCCCTTTTTTGTCACACAATTGTATCATACCTTTTATATTTGAAATACTTATTATGGTATTGATAGAACAGATATGAGGGATGATGTACCTACGGGTAGAAATCCGATCGAAATTGGAAGTGTTATGTATGCATTTATAATTATTGAAATATATGTTTTAAATTGTAAAAAATTATACGAGCATTAGACATTTTTCACAATTAATTACCTTTACAAATATTGAATTTATTGTTTTATAATATTTCTCATATCTTGCATATTAGTATTATCAGATAAGTAATTTTGAGTGAAATACACATATTTTCCACAAATTTCCATACTATTTTTTTGGAAATTATCCATTATTTTTAAATATTACAATTAATGTTTCTATTACCAGATTACCCTGCCCATTCTGGTGATAGTTACTGTAGTTCCGAATTATCTTTGGATGGAAGTACATTCGATGCTCTGGACGATGGAACATCAGATGGAATACCATCATTGCACCAGGATGTAGTTGGTCCAGGCAACCAAGAACCGTCATCTATGTCACACACAGGCTTACTGGTAAATCCTATTGATAAATTGTACCTAATGCAAAATTCATACTTTAGTGGAGAACAATAGTTTGGAAGCATCAATATAATTGAAATGCAATTGTGGTGAAATTTAGATTATGGTAAGCTTAGCTAAACAAAAATTTAAGTATAATGCAAGAAACAGCAACTATTGGATCGTTTACTTTGCTGTTTGATTGATCTGAATTTTTGGCAGTTACAACATTGCTGTGTCGAATTTGTAGACACAGCATTTGAGTCCGAATTAGTATGTTTAAGCTAAATTTAATTTAATTAATCATTAGTTCGATCCAAGTGTACATAAACATATAAATATTTGAGTATAATATTTGTAAATAAAAATAACATTTGAATATAGCTTTTGAAAACATAATACATATAGAAAATATAAAAGAATTATCTGAAAGATTAACAAGTATTAACAGACTCAAACTTTTAATTTAATGATGGTCATTCTGCGTTCATTAATTATCACAGAATTATAATAATACTAAATCTCAAATATTTTATAGTTTTTTTTTCTATAAAAAATACGATTTATGATTTATATTTATGGTTACTAAAAATTAATCCAAAGATATTAATTATTAGTTATTGTCCAAAATGTTAACTGTGTACTGCAACATAATTTCTATTAAGAAAGATATTACTAGAATCATTTATATTTATTGTTAATATTAATATATATGTTGTTTATATATTTATAGAATAAAGTTTATCCTTCGTCCACATTTTAACAATTTACATATTACTTTAAACTGTAAAAATTGTACGAAGTAACAACACACCATTAAAAAATGTACTATTGCTGTGAAAAAAATATTATTAATTTTAATGTAAGTATATGAGATTAACTATTTAATATATTGTAAATATGAATACATTTGTATCTAGTCATTAAAAGATTATGTACCTATGTAATTAATGGACTTGCCGTTTAGGCTGGCTTTAGTTACAATGAAATAAATTATTAAAAACAACGTGGGAAATTATTATTTAACTTCACTAAGGAGAAGCGTATGTTTTCGCGAAAAAAATTTGATTTGCTAATTTTAGGTTTCAAGTGAATCTGAATCGACTGAGACCAAATTTGGAAAAAGTGTGTGCTGATGTACACCAATTTTTGATCGATGTTGTATCAAAAATGGTTGGGCCAATTTTAAATAATTAAAGACCCTTCGGTGAAGCTCGATAAAAATTACCTTTTGTCAGTTTTGTGCGACGATCGGCTAAACCGTTTCTTCATAATTATCAGAAAAGTATAGAATTTTTCGTCCACATTTTAGTCCACGATCTTGAATCGATTTTGAAAATTAAAAAACTATTCGAAATATAATAGATAAGAATCGTATTAATTAGTTGTTTATGAGATCTTAAGAGATCTTTGTAGTCTATAACAAGATACTAAAATATTATAGACCAGTAGTCGGGGAACTTTTGGAACCATTATCCCAAAATGTTTTTGTGCAACCTCTCATTACCCCACAGAGTCTATAATTGGAATCTGTTTGCATACTTCTGTATAACCTCCCATAACCCGCAGATTGCTACATTGTTTGTTACTTCCAAACCTTGAAAAAGACTGAAATAAATGGTTTGAAGGAAACAATAAGTAAAAATTATATTCTTTATGAATACATATATTTTTCATGAAAATCCTACTAATACATGAACAAACTAGTGGTGTATGGCATCATGCCTTAAGGCAAATTGCTGGTACTTTCCGCACCCAGTTGTGACACTGAAGCTGATTTAAAACAAGCGAGATATTTAATTTGTTTTAGTGCGAAAACTACTTATTTCTTCACATTTTCAGCTAATGCAGAAATTCTTTCCGATAGTAGGTTTTACTGAAGTTGATTCAGTGCTTCTCAAATATATACATTTTACCCCCAAAAATACCTCTTTTACTCAATTTGGAGTAATTTACCCCGGTTCCACTCTTATAGACCTATGATAAGCGGTTGATTTATAAAAATTCATCTAAGTTTAGAATTTCGCCATGAGCTGTAGCTAGCTACTGATCACAGTTGACGTCCACACTTGAAAAAATACACTTTTAGAATACGAAATGTATTTTTTTATTTAGAAAATAAAATGTGTTAAATAAATTAATTTAATGTACGAGTATGCAATAAATTCAATTATATATATGAAAGTCATCATTTGGATATCGTATTGATTATTTTTCAGTAAAAAGAAAAATATTATTTTCGAAGAAAACAGTTGAATATTTTATCCATAAATGAAAAGTATATGATTTTATCTAAATAGCTCAAGTTCAATTCTTATTGATAAAGTTGATTCTGTATACATATTGGGAAGTTCATGCAATTTGTTTTAAGGTAAATTTCAAATTATAGAATACATCATTACAATATAATTTTAATAATATTCTAATATAACTTGACGATACTTGTATAATATTACAATTATCACAAATATATTATTATTCAAGATAAATACTTCTTCGGGTTAGTTGCTCTTCTAAAGTTCTTGTTCGAAGTACTCTCCATAGATAACGCCGCTGCGCATTTCTCAGCTTACACACACCGCGAAACATAGAACGTCCCAAGCTTAGCAAACTGCTTTTTCCGCTGAAGCATACTTACCTGGCGTGGGGGCTACCGTGATCACTAAGGCGGTTCCCCCAGGGTGAGGCCCTTCCATTGCACCTCGGTTGGGCTGACCCCTGCGATTGTCCCTAATGTGGATAACTCGGGCGCGTAATTTTTGGTAGTCGGGACTGCGTACGCGCTGTCCCGGTAACTAACTCTCATATTAAAAATAAGTATACATATATAGTATACAAGAATATTCTGAGCTGAAATGTTCAAGTACTCCCCACGGTATTAGTAGTTGGTACGGTGGTACCATATACCTTGCCCACACTACTCTAAGGTAACCATGCTCTGTGACGGTACTAAACTCTCAATTTTTTATCTAATGAAGTAAATTTGGTTGTATCGAAGAGCTTTTTCAAGAGCTTTTAACCTTCAATTTTTAAAGTAAATTTGGTTGTATCGAAGAGCTTTTAACCTTCAATTTTTAATGGAAGATAATATTTCACTAGTGTAGTAAATGCCATATAGTATTGTGTTAAATTTTTAATGTTATACATAATGTGCCTTTATTTAATATATATAGTATACAAGAATATTCTGTATTCTGCCTGAAAAATAGTCAAGAAAGATGAAAGATGAAGAAAAATAGTCAAGATTACCATGATATTTTGGTATGGTGTTATCATTGGTATGATATGTACCTGGGCTAATTTTTTTTATAGAATTAGAAATATTTACCTGCAGAATTATTATTTTTTAGACGATTTTATTAGTGGAGGATAGTCTCTTCTTGGATGTCCGATAAACATCTTGAGTATATTAAAAGATTAGGTAAGCACACATGTATGAGTATATTATATTCTCAATTCTCTTATATATTGTCTAGGTATGTTGATAATTTAATTTAATTAAATTTAAGTTTAATATTATTTAAAAATTAAAATATTAGTAATAATATTATATTTAAAAATGTATATATAAGAAATAAAATAAAATATTTAAAAAAAAAAGAATTGCATCGGCCGGGAATCGAACCCGGGCCGCCCGCGTGGCAGGCGAGCATTCTACCACTGAACCACCGATGCTTGTGTAAAATTGTACTATATCGCGTTAATATACAGCATATAAATGTTATTTTAATTATTTTTAAGTATTTTCATTTATTAATAAATGCATATATTTTAATTTAATTATACTATTTAATATTGTTATTAATTTGGTCATCATTTTCTTTATAAAATAACTACAAAAGTACAATCGATTGTTTCATATTTCTTCACCAACACCAATCAAGATGTTGCACTTACTTAACATTTATGCATTGTTCCTTTCAAAGTGTTGACATATAATTAATAAATAATGCATTTCAAATAGATCTCAATATGCAATGCTGATTTAAATAGTTATTATTGCATGAACAGTGTTCTGAGTGTCAATAATATGGAAAAAAGTTAAATTTATCATATTACAAAAGACTTTTCAAAACATAACCAATGAGAAACATATGACAGCTAGTAAATATAAATAAAATTATTCTTTTTTCAAAATAAATGTTTATAATTAATAATGGATAAAAAGGTGATAGATTTCGATAAGGTGTGCAGAACGTGCTTGTCAATTAAAAAAGATATGAGACCATTATTTGAGGAATTAATTGCTACTTTACTTATGGAATGCACAAATATCAAGGTAAATGACTATAACAAGATTTAGATTCATTTTAAGCTTATTTAGATTAAAGAAATATTATTATATTAGTTACCAGTGTCATCAACTGGATTATGACAAAAACCTTCCTTACCAGCATTTGTTAAAAGCACACACTGCAAAATATTATTTTGTACAATTAATTTAAGCCTTCAAGGCACTATTTACTTATAAAATTGATACAAATAACATTATTTATATCAAGTGAACCTTTATCGATCAAGAATTTGCTTAGATCCACTAATTTGTAGCCGTAGTATCAATTTTTCAATAATAGACATGCTCATGTTAACGAAACCCTATGTATGTTATATTAATCTTTAGTACCTTGATATTTAGTTTAAATCAATATATATTTTATATTTCTATTCTCTTCTAGGTGTCCCAAACGGATGGCTTGCCTGGACAGATTTGTGTGCAATGTGTCCACCAAATAAGTCGATGTCATTCATTTAAATCCCAAGTTGAACGATCAGATGTTACTCTTAGAGATTATGTACAACAAATGGTATAACAACAATTTATCATCTCTAGTTTTATATATATTATATTGTATTTTTTTTTTCTAGCAACAAGCTAATCAAACCCAACAAAACAGACAAGTACTTTTAACAGTTTCAGGAGAAGATTGTGAAATGGTGGTACCCGATTTAATATCAGACCAAAATGGACATAATTTTTACACAAACAGTAAATATATTCATACAGAAATAGTTGTAAATGCATTTTACTCATTAATTATGTTTTAGATCAAAGCGGAAATACACATATTACGAAT